ATATATATATATAAATTTTTTTAAAGAAATTAATACTTTTTATTAAGCAAGGATGCATTCAGTTTATCAAAAGTGACAGTAAAGACATTTACAATGTTACAAAAATATATTTTTAATACATGCTTTTCTTTTGAATATTCTATTTATCAAAAAAATCTAGATAAAAATGTATCAGTGTTTCCACAAAAATATTAAGCAGCACAACTTTTAACATTGAATATTAGATAAAATATAGCTTTGCCATCACATGGATTAATTATATTAAAATTTATTTTAAAGGATTATTTTAAGTTGTTAATATTTTACAAAATTATTTTTGAATAAATAAATGCAGTCTTGCTGAGACTTCTTTTAAAAAAACATATAAAATATTAGACCTTTATAAGGGTCTAATATGTATGTATTTATTTGTTTGTTTATTTTTTTATTGTTAGAAATATTTATCATTACAATATTATTATTTGTAAGAATATTATTCAAATATTTGATTAGTTTTTTATGAATTATATAAATATTTATTATTTATGTTCACATGATGTACTATGCACTGTGTGACCATCTACATTGTCAAGTGTTTTCAGAGGATTTGTACACAGCACACGTGCCAGCAGAAGTACAGTTGTATTGTATTTGTTTTATTGTGTCACTTGCTTTCAACCATGCAGGAACTGAAAGGGGAACTGAAAATAAACTTTCGGTTGATGATTATAATTTGCAACCTGAACAAAGCCAAACAAAAGATTGAAAAGATATCAGACAAATGCTAAAAGCTGATTGCAGTCGTAAACAACCAATTGCCTTGGGAAGCCCCTGTTGCCTGTCCCTCCATGGTGGAAGTTTTTGTGTGTTTCCTTCCTAGCTGTAATCCTCTGGGCAGAAATATGAGCTTGTGTATATTAAGTGTGCTAGAATGAGTGTGTGGATCCGGCTGATGTGTGGATCCAAACAATTGCACAGCGAGGAATCATTCATCAGGGCCGCTGACGCAACAACAGATTCCCGGCTCTCATGTGACCAAAGCTTGTCCTCTAAATTAGACACAATCTGGGTCCATGTAGGAGGTTTGGTGAGAGCTGGGCTGTAGGCAGCGAGTGATAACAGAAAACAAAGGCCAAACAGGCCCTGTGACGTCATAATAAGCACAGGCTAATCTCTTATAAACAGCCTTGGTCTTAAATAACTCATTCAACAACTGAAAGCACTGATACCTATTAATGCAAAGTTCAGCACCCTGAGCAAAGAGAGAACCTGGGCACATGTTGGTAACGTTTTGTATTTCCTGCAGATTTAGATCAAGTTGCTTTAGATGTAGCGTTTCCTTGAAATCTTGTTTTTAGTAAGTTCTCAGTGGTCATTATGCTGAATAAATGTACCAGAAAAACAAATTCCTAGAGTTGACCTGTCTGTTGAAGGAGAGGTAAGCTGTGTAATGACTCCCCAAGCTCTGGCATTTGTGGCAGCTGGTGCTGGGCACCTGGACCAGCCCTGAAACCAGAGCTGCACGCGGGCATCTCGCCCAGTGCATCAGTGGGCCTGTACTGCCAGTCTTCCATAAGTGAAATTAAGCACATTATATATCAAAAAAAAAAAATGTCTAGAAGGCTAATAATGACTGTTTCCAGTGTGTAAGATGCCAACTGAATTGGCTGCTATTTGGACATGTTGAATGGCACATAGTAGATGATAATAATGAAAAATGAGGCAATGGGATTTAGGGCTGAAACGATTAATCGACATTATCGATAAATCGTTTTAAAAAATTGTAGACAAATATTTTTGTTGTCGAGTAGTCGTTTGATCTCATATGACCTAATGCAGTGTTGCCCAACCAGGGTGCCGTGTAAAAAATCATTTTTTAAAAATATTTTTAAATTGCTAAAATGTTCAAAAAAGCATCTATTATATAATATCCATTTCTGATGTCGCCAATAATTAGAGATGCACCGAAATTCCGGCTGCCGAAAATTAGAACGCTCAGGTTTCACTTTCACGTGGTGTGACGCTCTGCGTATTATTCCGCTCTATGCGTGCGCGCTCCGCTCAGCGCTCCACTCATTTACCGTTCATTAAAGCCCTGCACGGGCCTCAAATTTAGGCCCTAGGCCAGAGACGCTCAGGACCTAGCCTGGCCCGTGTCCGACAGCTTATAAGAATTACCGGCCCGAGCCCGTCTTTTTTCCCCCTTCTCCCAAAACAGCTTATACTACTGTTTCAGCTATTAAAATAGTTCAGTTTTGTATGTAATGGCAAAGTTATTATATTTCGTTTATTTTATTTTTTTTATTAAGTTAATTTAGAAAAACGTTTGGAGCATTTTTTGTTTGTTAAATATAAGTTTTTGCTTTTCGACCAAGCAGCCAGCGGCAGACAGTGAGCCTATGTTTGATCAAC